TTTAAAGTTCGCCCAAAAAGAGAGGTGTGAAAAATGGTTACTTTCGCACCTGCCACCCCCTCCCCTGGGGGAGGGAGAAGACACACCTAGAACTCCCCCCGCCCTCCCCCCCCTTTCACACACAACAAGCCAGGAAGGAGGGAGGGGTGTGTATGTGTCTATGTGTGTTTCGGACTGGGCTGCTGTAGCTTCACGGTAGCTGTTTGACGAGCCGCCACACAAGGAGAGGCTCTCGGTCCCCCGTCCCCTCCCCAACGGTCTTTGGCAAGCTTGGGAGAGGAATTATCTGGAGAAGGGAGGAGGGGGGTGAGACCCAGGGGATGTTGGTTTGTTGTTCCTGGTTTTAAAGAATGGTGGTGGCTGTGGTTTGTTTTCTTTGAACGAGACGAGTGGCGGCCTTTCATTTCTTTGGGGGTTGCACAAGCTTGCGGGAAGGAAGGATCGTTTCATGGCAAGGAGGAGGAGGAGGAGGAGGACGGCTGGGGCCCCTTAGGACACCCCATTGATCAGGGAGGCCACCTCCGCCTCGCCCCCACCGGCCGCGGCGCTGTGCTCCCCATTCTCCGAAGGGCCGTTGACCATCTTGCTGTTCGCCTCCCCCTGGAAGAACAACGAAATGAGAGGGCGGTCGGAGGGGGGGATTCTCGGCCTTCAAACCCGCCCACCCCTCCCCACGCCGGGGACCAGAGGTCGGCTTCAAATAACTTTATCCACCCCAGTTGCTGGGTGGGGTGTGGGTAAGTTGGCAACCGGTACCACCGTGGGAGCGAAAACGGGGCTGCGGCAGGCGACGGGGACCCAACCCCCATTCCCTGTTTTGTCTTCCCGGGGTTCCGGGGGCTCAAAATGAGCCCATTTTTTCGCCCCTGCGATCCAAAATGGCACTCCTGGGAGGGCCAGTCGCCGGAACGACCAGTTTGCCAAACCGGATCTTTATTAAAAAAACGTCTACAAAAATTCACAGCCGGCTGGTGCGAACCGATAAGGAGCGCACCCCTGTTGTCCACTCGTCATCTATTTCTCGCGTCTTTATGTAGAGGGGCCAAGAGAAAGGGAGGGAGTGGGGAACAGTGTGGCAGCTTGGAAACCGAAAGGACATTTCATCGATGGTTTTTTTCAAGATGCAAAATTCTAATTGGAGAACATGACTGAGGACTCCGGGCTACGGCTGTGTCCCATTGGAGAATATGATTTATGACACAGAGTTGGCTGCACCCAATAAATCCTTTTTGGACGTTTGGCTCGAGACTCAGGATTTAACTTGGGGGGCAACCCCACCCCTACCTGGGATCCCCACCATGCCATTGTCCCCCCTCTCCCCCTCTTCAGAGACCGAGACCACCACGTACCTTTTGCTTGGGGGAGGTTCCGCCCTCGGGGGTCTCCTCCTGGCTTTCCCGGAGGGGGGGTCCCTGGCGGCTCTGAGAGTCCGCACGGGAGATGTAGTCCGCGACGGTTCCTGCGGAGAGAGGGGAGGAGTGCGTCGGGCACCAGGAGGGGAGGGGCACCTTCTACCAAAGGGTTCGGCTAGGTCCCGCCCATTGCAGACCAGTCCTCGATGTACTACCGTAACGGCTCCCTCTGCGCATTGCCGTCTCTAAGTGAGATGATTTCAGCTTTGCTGCAGCCATGGGTCATTCAGTATGGGAAAAAAAAAATGGGCCCTGGAGTCCTTTTCTCCTCCCCCCCCTATCCCACCCCCGGGGCGGCTGTGAGCTCGGTTCCTAAAGGCGCCGCCACGAAGACACAAGGGATGCCTGTGGAGGCTCGCCCTGGCGCTTACCCGGCTGGCGGTCCCGGCTGATGGAGCTGTCCAGGCGGTTAGCACGGTTACGGCGCCGCCGGCTGCGGTTGCGTCGCTGTGGCTTCGACTCCTCCTCTGGTTTGAAATAAAAAGGGGAGAGTTGGGGACGGGGGGTGTTGAGAGGGAGGGGAGGGAGAGATCTTTCCTGACTGACAGAGGCAAGGGCATTGCCTGCGGAAGCCACGGGAACACAGCCCTCACCCATGCCGTTCTCGTTGACAGAGGTGTTGTCCGATTCCAGGCCTCCATCCATGACGGTGGTCTCTTCATCGGTGCGGCGCCGGCGCGAGCGGCGCCGCCGGTTGCTGGGTCCCTGCGACTCACTGCAGTCTGTGTCGGCGTTCGGCTCATTCTCAGGGTTCTCCAGCAGGCTGTAAGGGTTGCTGTCCGGGTCTCTCAGGACTGAGGGGAAAGCGGGAGGACCGGTTGGGTGGGCGGGCGGAGCCTCCAACCCTCTCAACCCACAGGGTTCCTTTTCGTACCTGAACTGATCGACGAGGTGTTGTACTTGCTGTTGCTACTGCTGTTCCCACGAGAGGCTGGAGCAGGACCCCGGCCTCGCCCAGGCCCCGGCCGCCGACGCCCGTCCTCCGGGCGGGGCTCTCGCTCCCCGGCGAGCGGGAAATCGTAGTCCTCCCTCTTCTCTGACTCAGTCTCGGAGGCGTTGGAGACTTCCGAGTTGGTAGCTGGAGGAGGCGGGTGGAGACAAAGAAAGGAAGAGATGGGGCCTAGCTCCCTCCCACCCACCCACCCCTTCGCCCACGGGCTTCGAAAAGCACAAGGCTCCGCCGGCTCACCGTAGCCAGAATTGCCTCCCCGCCGGCCTCCACGGCCACGCCCGCCGTAGCTGCCGCCGTAAGTCCTGGTATTGTGCAGGGAGGAGCTGCTCTCGTCCGTGGTGTAGCCGCCCCGCTCTTTATCCCCGCGACCCGAGAGGGGCCGGAAGCCCAGGCCGATCTGGCGCAACTGTTCGTCGATCTGCAGCCTCTCTAGGCGAAGCTGCTCCACTTCCTGCCCCGCGGGAGGAAGGAGGAGGGCTTAAACCAGGCAGGGAGAAATGAGGAGGGGAGGGTTCTGCCCTCCGAAGGGTGGGGGGGTCTTTACCTGGAGGTAGGAGAGGTGGTATTCCAGCAGGGCCCGGGCGTTGCTAATGTTCTCCTGCGTCCCCACGAAGATGAAGGGCACCATGCCCTGCGGAGAGGAGGGAGGAAGAGGAAGGCAGGGAAGATTCTACTCCCTCATTAACGACTTAAGAGGAGGAGGGAATAGACGGGGAACTTGCCAAATTTGCAGAGGTGATACTAAGCTGGCGGAAATAGCCAACACTCAAGAAGATTAGGCTCAAGATCCAGAGGGATCTTGACAGGCTAGAAGACCGGGCCATATTTAACCAAATGAAACTCAAGGTAGAGACAAGGAAAGTCCGACACTCAGGCAGGAAAAACCCAAAGGTCCCATATAGACCTATAGGTGAAACCAGGCTCCATAGCAGGAACTGTAATAAATGATCTCAGAGTCTCGGAGTGGGCAACCAGCTCAAGAGGAGCCAGCCGTGTGCAGCAGCCGCCGCCAAAAAAGCCAACGCAATCCTAAATTGCATTAACAGAGAGGGAGACAATCCAGATCAAAGGAAGTATTAAGACCATTCTAGAAAGCCTGAATAAGGCCACACCTGGAGTCCTGCATCCAGTGTTGGTCACCACACTATAAAAAAGATGTTGAGACTCTGGAAAGAGTGCAGAGAAGAGCAACCAGGAGGATGAGGGGACTGGAGACTAAAATATATGAAAAACAGTTGCAGGAACTGGGCCTGGCTAGACTAGGGAACAAAAGGACCAGGGGGGACAGGAGAGCAACCTTCCAATATTTGAGGGCTTGGGGTTAGACTAGATGACCTACAAGGTCCCTTCCAACTCAAAATCTGATTTTAAGGAACAAAAGGACCAGGGGAGACAGGAGAGCAGCCTTCCAGTATTTGAGGGTGGGGGTTAGACTAGATGACCTCCAAGGTCCCTTCCAACTCTGCTCCTCTGACTTCCATCTGATTTTAAGGAACAAAAGGACCAGGGGAGGCAGGAGAGCAGCCTTCCAATATTTGAGGGTGGGGGTTAGACTAGATGACCTACAAGATCCCTTCCAACTCATAATCTGATTTTAAGGAACAAAAGGACCAGGGGAGACAGGAGAGCATCTTCCCATATTTGAGGGGCTGCCACAGAGAGGAGGAGGAGGGGGGTCAAGCTATTTTCCAAAGCACCCAAAGGCCAGACAAGGAAGAATGGATGGAAACTGAACAAGGAGAGATTCAACCTGGAAATAAGGATGAATTTTCTGACAGGGAGAACCACCAACCAAAAAGTTGCTTTTAGAAATCGTGGGAGCTTCATCATCCCTGGAGGCTTTCAAGAAGAGACTCGACCACCACTTGTCAGAAATGGGGTAGGGCCCCCCTCTTGGGAAGGAGGGGGGGTTGGACTAGATGACCTCCAAGGCCCCTTCCGACTTGGATGATCTGCTAAGATGGGCGGCGGCGAGGCCTCTCTGCCCCAGGAGTGAGGGGTGAGGGTGTGGGGAGGGGGGGATGTCTCAGTGGGAAGAACCAGCACCCTCGCAGGCAGCACAACCGCCCCCAAGGAGCTGCTCCAACTTTGGACCCGAAAGGAGCCCGAACGGATCCATCAGCCCCGAGCCACGTCGAGCCAAACCTTGGGAATTCCTTGGTGTTTTTCGTTTATTCTCCCCCTTCGGAAGACGTTTCGCTTCTCATCCCAGGAGCTTCTTCCAGCTCTGGAGGGTGGGAAGAAGGGGAGGATTTCCGCCGGCAGAGAGCTGGTCATGGGCATCCTTTGGAGAGAGGCGTCGAGGCCGCTTGGCGGTGGGCCCGTGTCCTGCCTTGAACCCGCTTGGCGTGAGACAGGGGGTTCCCACCACTCAGGTGGACCCCGAGGGCGGCACGGGCGAAAACCTCCAAGGGGCCCCCACGGCCCTCTCGAAAGGACGCAAAGGACCGACCGGCTCTCTGCCTGCAAAGGAGGGTAAATCCTCCCCGTCCCCTCCATTCCAAGCCGGAGCGGAGAAGTGAAACGTCCTCAAAGAAAAGAAGAAGAAGGAGAAGAAGAAAGAAAGAAAACGAAGAAGGAAATCCAGTTACCTCCTGAAAAAGGACCTTCGGGACAAGCAGGGCCTGGATGGCGGAGAATCTCCGCAGAGTCTGGCTGAGCCGGGTGGTTTTCCTGGCAGGCGTTTCATGACCCAACTAGGGAACGTCACCAGTGCTAGAAGGGAGTTGAGTTTTTAGAGGAGGAGGAGGAGGAGGAGGAAGGAGGAGGAGGAGGAAGGAGGAAGAGGAAGAGGAGGAAGAGGAGGAGGACTGTGGAGTCCCCTTGGGGCTCTCTGAGCCGGGTGGTTTTCCTGGCAGGCGTTTCATGACCCAACTAGGGAACGTCACCAGTGCTAGAAGGGAGAGGGGTTTGTGAGAAGGAGAGAGAGGAGAGAGAGGAGGAGGGAGGAGGACTGTGGAGTCCCCTTGGGGCTCTCTGAGCTGGGTGGTTTCCTGGCAGACGTTTCATGACCCAACTAGGGAACGCCATCAGTGCCCTTATCTTGATGATGTCATCTAGCTGGGCCATGAAACGCCCGCAAGCCCCGAGGATTCCACAGTTCCACCCTGAGCAACAGATATTCTATTGGAAGCGATCCCGTCTTGAGAGGGGAGGGGAGGGGGGGGCAAGGGAAGCGGGCAGGGGGCCTGGCTGGCGTGGCCGGCTCAACCTTACCTCCTCCCGAGGGTTCTTCTTGTCGTTGTCCCCTTCCACCCGTACTCTCACCACGCCGGATTTATCCACTATTTCTTGGATGACCTTCCCGTTCTTTCCTATCACCTTTCCTGCGGAGAGAAAGAAAGAAAGAAAGAAAAAGACAGAGAAAGAAAAAGACAGAGAAAGAAAAGGAAGAAAGGAAACAAAAGGAAAAGAAAGCAAAAGCGAAAGAACAAGAAAGGAAGAAAGGAAAAGAAAAAAAGAGAAGAAAAAGGAAGAGAAAGAAAAAGGGAAAGAAAAGAAAAAGGGAAAGAAACAGAAAAAGAAAGGAAAAGTAAGAGAAAGAAAATGAAAGGAAGGAAAAGAAGGAAAAGAAAAGAAAGAAAAAGAATGAAAAAGAAAAAGGAAGGAAAAGAAAGAAAAAGGAAGGAAAAGAAAGAAA